ATAATTTTCCCCATGAGATGTGAAGGTGGGGCGCATTTGTAACTACGTGGAAATGGGTTTAGAGTCCACCATTACTGAGATGTGAAAGTATACGACATGTCGTTTTACAAGGAAAGGGAGGGTCCAAAGTCAAGGTCAAAAAACAACCGACAGCTGTTTGATGGGTGAGGGTTTAATACGACATTGGAAGTTGTGCCACGCGGTACACTTTTAACTCTCTTTGATCTCTTCTCATTAATTTACCCTCTCTCCCAAAAAAACAAAAGAAAAGGAGGTTCAAAAAAATTTCTCATTAACTTAAAAATAAATGTTTAAACATTCTATGAACACTTTCAAATTTGATGTCTAATTCCAATCTTTTAATTTTATATCTAATGGTGGTATACTATATTAAAAAGGAAAAATGGCCAAAAGTGACACACATAAAAAAGTTTATGAAATTTATAAGATATCTTTTAAAAATTTAAATTTTTTTTACAAAGTTTGGGTCCACGAATCATACCAAATCTATAATTTTACATTTTTTATATTTTTTTTGTAGGTATATATTATTTGTACAAATAAGTGATTAAATATTCAAAAATTTATAGAAAGTATTACATGTTTCAATTTTAGGCCAACCTAGATAAAATATATATAAAAAGAAGGTTAAAAAACACTTTTAGTCTCTACTTTTATTAAAGTAACAATTTAGTCCATAAACTTTAGTTTGTAACGATTTAGTTATTGTACTTTCGAATTGGTAACAATTTAGTCCTTAGAACTTTAATATTTAACAATTTAATCATTGTAATTTAAATTTTGTAACGATTTAGTCCTTATCGTGAATTTTGTTGTTGTTAAGTTTCTTGTATGTATAGATTGATAAACTAAAGAGTGACCAAATATGTTTATGAATTAGAAATATTAAATTGTTATATGATAAAATTTGACATTTAATTTTAATAAACAAATTTTTATGATAGAGACTAAATTGTTATAAATTTTAAACTACAAGGATTAAATCGTTAAAAGTTACAGTTCAGGAACTAAATTGTTACTTTGGGGAAAGTACAGAGACTAAATCGTTACCAGTTAAAGTTCAGGGACTAAATTGTTACTTTAGTGAAAGTACAGGGACCAAATGTGTTTTTTAACCTAAAAAAAATATTGCCTAAAAATAAATAATTACTGATATAAAAATATAAAAATATGAATATAAAAATGATGTGTGTATAGCTGATTCGACATCTAAATTAAGAATATACATGTATTAACCAGTCGAATTTAAGTTGGCATATAATATAATTTTATTTGTTAATTTAAAATAATACACATTATTTGATTTTCATCAATCAGGATCCAAAGTTTACAGTGTGTTTGAGAGTTATGGTAGGATAGGTGATTTTGAAAAAAGATATTTAAGTATAATTAATTTTTCAAAATCACCRTCTAAGTGATACCTTGAAAGTTAATTTAAAGTGATTTTTAAGCTTTCCTAAAATTAATCTTTTGATTTGCCAAACACATCGATGGAAAAGAGGAGTGGTTTTGACAATAGCAAAAATGATTTTGACATGTCAAAAGTCACTCCCAAACCCTTAGGTCTAAATCAGAACGGGCATGAATCGGAATCAAATCAGATAATGTTATTCATTTGATGTTGTTTACTAGAAATTTGTTGAAATTGGAATCAGACTTATTTTGATATTATTAATCATATATATAACTATTATTAGTAAACCTTTTTCTTCTTTCTAGCTAATTACATTTCTTTTAATTACAATAATAATTAATTTTATTATTATGTTATTCATAATCAATATTTTTATTATAATAATTTATTTAATATTAATAAATAATGAATAATTAAAATAATATTTTTTATTAGAAAATAATTATTTAAGATAAAATATTATTATTATAATATTTAATAATTACTTATATTTTTAAAAACTGTATTGAATTTTAAAATTTTAATATAATATTTTATAATCAAATTACATCGAGTAATAAAAGTGATAAAAATTTTTAGTTGTATAAATGAAGGTAGAAATAATAAAAGTATAAAGCAATTAATTAAAAAATATTGTAAATCTCGTTAATACATAAACAGATAAAGTGTAAAAATGAAAAAATTGTTCTCATTCCTTCCTTCCCATTAGTTTGAAGTAAACATGGTCTCACTAGAATGTCATTTTTTTTACAAAGTACATGCATTATTTATTCTAAAATTTTTTAAAAACTGTTTTTAATTTTAACTTTTATTTTATCAATTTTATTTTCACTTCGGCAATCTCATCCTGTTTCACTCTCAAAACTCTTAAGCGAACCTCTAAATAAATAAATAAATAAAACCATATTTTTAAATTACTTTTCGAAAGTTTTTAAGTCGTTGGTTAAAAATTTATTGTATTTCAACGAATTAAAGTGTAATCAAAATTGTATACAAGTATCTCGTTATCAAATGATTTGTAATTTGTCCAAATTTCATTAAATTTTTATATTTGGTCATCGTCATTAAACTTTGTATCACGAACTATTCAAAATACGATGTGATGGCAATACATTATTTGATGTCATTCAAATACTATATCCACTTCAAAATAAATACTGTGGGGGTGAAATGTAATGAAAATATTGGTTAAAAATAAACAAAAGGTTGGAAGTTTAAAATTAAATTTTCTGTAGCACGATGATTAAGGCAGGAAATGTTTTAAAAATTAAAATAATTTTTCTCAAATGTAGTAACTACAACAACAACAAAAATGAATTAGAGCAATGACCAAAATTATATATTAGTTTGGAGGTTAAAGTGAAAATTATATATGTTGGTTAATTTGATTAAAGTAATAATTGTACCGAGCAGAACGTGTTTTTACGGCCCAAATAACGAGTAAAATATAATCCATAGATTTTAAGTCAAACAAACAAAAGAAATTAAGTAATTTCGTGTCTGTTTCCAAATTAAATTCTAAAATATGCTAACATTTATTAAGTGAATAGAAAATGGAGAAAATGATACGATATAATATATTTAATGCGCTCCACATTAAATTAGTTGATACTCATATATTTATGTGACGTCTCATTCATTCACAGTAAAATAAATGTAATAATATCCCAACCTAATCTACAAATATTTGTGTCATTTTCCATCTTATTCAAAATTTTCTTCAAATTATTATTATTATTATTATTATTATTAGGTCACGTATGAGCGGCTATCTTGATTAGCACTGGCGTGTCCAATATGAAGTTTGAAAAGGCATACATGGATTCCACAGTCAAAAATCTCTCTCTTTTTAATTATTTATATACTTTTAGTAAATATAAATTCAAACAAAAAGATCTTATATTAATTTTAATAACAATATATAAATTGACTCAACTACACGGCGGTCCCAATATTTCCAATCATGAGTTTGACCAGTATCTAATAAGAGATAAATGAATATTATATTTTTATTGGTCCATGTGGCAAACTAATTTAATTTTTCAAATATGATACCAAATTACACACAAACCAACATTGTCCGCCTAACCATAATTAACTTATTAAAAAATGTATTTTCGACCAAAAAATTTGTGAATCCATTCCCACCCTACCAAAAATTGAAAAAAAAAAAGAAAAGAAAAACACCACAAACCCACATTTATTAGATATTTTGTGATATAAATAACTATTAAGGAGAAACCTAGGAAAATCAGACCCCATATTTTGATTTGTAAACTAATTTTATTTTCAAAATGAAGTTATTAATTTAATCCCGCAAACTACGTAATAATAAGTTTTACAATTTGCAAATCCAAAAGCTAAATCATTAGTTATATAACATCAAATTCTATAACTCACTAACCAATATTTTAGTACTAGTAATTTTTTCCTACAAAAGGGAAAAAAAAAAAAAACCTATCTCCAATGTATGGTTTGAATAGCTATGTCAAGGCTATCCCCAAACAAAGTATGTCGTTTTCTTACTTCTTTGTGGTCCAACCCAAAGTACCAATAATACAAAATTCTCCTTCAACAATCCCGACAATAATTTTTGTCCAAGAAAAAAAAAATTACCTACACGTCGGTTAATAAAAAAGATGTTTCATAGTACTATTGGATAACTGTTTTGTTTTTGTTTTATGCTTTTAAAAATTATACTTATTTTTTTCGCAATTTGATTGGTAAGTGTTTATTGGATTTTGAAAACTTATTTGAACTGTTAGACTAATTTTAAAAATAAATTTATTTATAATTTTGAAAATGTTAAAAAAATATACGATAAAACAAAATTATAAAGATAAAAGTAATATTTTTAAACTTAATTTTTAAGAAGAAGAAATAAAAAATGAAATAGTTATCCTATCAAATTATTTTCTTTAATTGAATTCACCATCTCTTGACTGTAGATATATATCAATTATAACTAAATTAGGCTCGCTTTCACTCTCACATCATTTTCTATTTTCTATGTTTCTTTTGCACCCAATAAATAAATGAATTTGATATTTACTTTTGGACCATTAAAAAAACCAGTGACTCGGTACAAGTTCCAGCGTCGACGTGGTGGCAATTTGGAAAACATAAGTCAACAAGACGAGATGTAGAATTTTCAATTTCCACAGCCAATAAAATAAAAAAGTGAAATTACAAAAATAGGAGGATAGTGACGCCCCTGCCGACCCTACAGTAAAAATAAATAAATTAAAATACTATTTTAGCCCAGTGTCCTTTTACTTACAAATTTATTTTAATTCTTGTTTTTATAATATTTGTTTGAATCCATTAAACTTTCTAAAAATACGAACTAAAATCAAAATTAAAATTAAAAATACAAATCACGAAATCATTTTGAGAGTAAAAAATGAACCCAACTTAAAAAGTAATTGTCAAATCGAACATGGTTAAGATCCCTATATTTGACCATGGTCATGAGTTCGAATCCACCTACATGTTATATAAAAAAAACATTAAAAGTAATTTTAACATGAAAAAAAAAAGAAAGAAAGAGAAAAAACCAGAAGTTGCAGAAACAAAAAATGCAGTCTGTGTTTTTTCATGGAAACTGGGCTCGAGTTATCGAGGCACTTTATTTGACCACTCTCAAATTCTCCGGTCTTCACCCAACTTTATAAATCTCTAAGCCTTCTTTGTTCTCCACCATTTTTCCCATTCCCCAATCCCCAACACAGTTAATTCCAATTCCAAAGTTTTAATCTTTGAATCATTCAGACCAAAAATTCTTCGCCATTCAAAGCATTTCAGTGCTTCCTCTGTCCCCGATTTCGTATAAAAACAGAGGTTCCACACCAAATCCCACTCACAATTTCATCCTGTTCCCTCACCAAACTTCAGAATCGAAACAACCCCATTTCGATTCTCCTTCATTAATTTCTGGGTTTCATTCCAATTTGCCGAAATCTTGCGAGCTCCCATCCATGGGGTTATCCCTGTCCCTGCTGATTTCAGCCTGGAAACAGATTCTGGACCAAGGGCTCTTCATAATCTGCAACAATTCGAGCTTCTCTCCAAAAGAAAAGGCTCTGATTTTGAAATCGAACAGCTTCAAGATTACAGAGCCGGAAGCAGCCAAAAACAGAGCTCTGATTTTGAAATCTAGCAGCTTCAAGATTTCGGAGCCGGAAGCAGTGAAAAACAGAGCACCCACCGGCAGAACGAAACCGAACAGTTTGAAGGGGAACAAGCCGGAGATTCTGGAGACCAGTTTCTCGTTTAAGACTGTGATTAATCAGGATGCGGCGTTCAGCTTCCCTGTTTCGGCCGGAAAATATGCCAAATCGGCGGCTTCTCTGCCGGAGCCGGCGGTTCTGTACTCGCCGAGGCCGGTGAGCGAGCTGGACGCGGCGGCGGTGAAGCTGCAGAAGGTCTACAAAAGCTACCGGACGAGGAGGAATCTGGCGGATTGCGCGGTGGTTGTGGAAGAATTGTGGTGGAAGGCCATCGATTTTGCCAATCTGAAGCGGAGCTCTGTTTCGTTTTTTAACATCGAGAAGCCGGAAACCGCCGTGTCGCGGTGGGCCAGAGCCAGAACAAGAGCTGCCAAGGTAAGTTGTGTTTTCTCGATTCTTTTCTGTTACTTGTTTCTAATTTTCTTAACAAATCAAGTATTTTATCGTTAACTTGTCTTTTATATTTTTAAAACATTCTCAAAGTTATAGAAATTTTAGAAATGAACCAAACAAATTTCTTCTGAATGTTACTAAAAGTGGCAGCGATTTGCTTCAAATACTTTGGAAATTAAACCCAAAAACTTTTCCCCATATCATTACTTCAAATCTTTCAAAAGCTTATGATCATTTACCGTGTTCTTAATTCAGGTTGGAAAAGGTTTGAGCAAGGACGACAAGGCCCAAAAGTTAGCCCTGCAGCACTGGCTTGAAGCTGTAAGTTCCTCAAAATTTCACCAAAATTTTGCCAAATTTTATGAATCTTGATATGATATCCAGGTCCAAATATCAAGGTCCAAAATGGTCAAACGTCTCTCCGGTCCAAAAGTAGGATCCGGCCAAGACCTTGAAAAGAGTCGTGATCTTAGAGAGCATGTCGAGGATCCCAACAAAAATTTCTAATAGCTACTCTTTGAGACAGAACTCCGTGAATTTTGACATCTGTTGCTGATCAAATTTTGCTATTATATTTTTGGTTACAGATTGATCCACGCCACCGTTATGGCCACAATTTGCACTTGTACTACGACGTCTGGTTTGCAAGTGAGAGCAATCAGCCATTCTTCTACTGGTAAGTGACCTTTTCCATTTCCTCTGTTTTCTTGCTCGGAAAATTCTGAGGAGTCATTTTCCCGGCAACTTTCTCGGCATCCAAACACAATTCCAATCCAAACCCATCTTCTAACTTACCTTGATTTGCAAAAATATAGGCTGGATATTGGAGATGGGAAAGAAATCAACCTCGAGAAATGCCCAAGAGCAACTCTGCAGCGGCAATGCATCAAATATTTGGGTCCAGTGAGTCTCTTTTTCTCCTCCGCCATGGATACCCATTTGCTAGAACTTGGTTTTTAACAGAAAGTTTCAATTTTTTTGCAGAAAGAAAGAGAAGCTTATGAAGTAGTGGTGGAAAATGGGAAGCTGGTTTATAAACAGAGTGGATCCATTGTGGAAACCAAAGAAGGTTCCAAGTGGATATTTGTTCTGAGCACTGCAAGATCCTTGTACGTTGGCCAGAAAAAGAAGGGCCAATTTCAACACTCGAGTTTTCTCTCCGGCGCCGCCACCACCGCCGCCGGCCGGCTGGTGGCCCATGATGGGTTCATTACGGTACAAAATCTGAACCCATCATGTCTTTGCATCTTCTCTTCATATGCTGAATTGAAATGGAAAAGTTAATAAATTTTGCTTCTTTTTGTTTTGTTGGGTATAGGCAATTTGGCCGTACAGTGGTCATTATCACCCCACTGAAGCTAATTTCAAAGAATTTCTCAGCTTCCTTGAAGAAAACCACGTAGATCTCACCAATGTCAAGGTAGATTTCCCATCTCCTTCCATCAAACTTTTAGATTGAGCTTAAATTTTATGGCTAAATTTAAATAGTGTCAAAATATACCAAATTCATGTTGAATTAATCTTTGATTTATTCAACATTTTTACACACTGATTAGACACGAAATTAAATTTGATGTCTAGTACAATTCTAAACTTTTAATTTTGTATATAGCAAGTCAAAACCTATTAAACATGAAATTGAAAGTTGTCTTAGACTCAAATTAAGAGTGTAGGCTCATTTGATATTTCTTTGTTTGGTGTCTATTTTTTAAAAGAATATTTTCTAAATCTAAGTCACGTTTTAAAAACTAAAAAAATTAGTTTTCAAAAATTAATTTTTATTTTATACGAAACATAACCATTAACTTTTAATTTAGGATCCATTGGACATGATGAGATCATTAGAATTGTAATTTAATTTTTTTCTTTAAATAGTGGAAAATCAATACTTATATGGGTTGTTTATTCTTCCCCAGATGTGTGCAATTGACGACGACAGTCAATACAAGGCCGTCGATGAGGAACAGAAACCGGAATCACGCGAGGTTTCCTCCAAATCTACACCGTTGGATGAAATCAAATCGACAGCTGTCGTAGAATCAGGAGAGAAGTTCACAGTCGCCGTGCCGGCGGTGGAGCCGAAGAAAGACGACGGCCGGAAGGTGGAGGAAGCGG